ACAGAGCAAAAATACATGTGCTTTTCCAGAGAGTGCAGTGGGACGCTGTGTGAACTGCAGATTGAATGACCTCTGTAGTTACAACTTTCATTACGGCAATTTTATATCTTTGCACGTCGTGCCAGCAGAATAATCTTGGCTATCATAGCGAACTCTGGAGTGTCCTTTTTTCTGCATGTGGTTCCATGCACATAGCTAAAGAAAACCCTCTCTCACCATCAAGACTATCCTGCTCTCTGAAAAAACAACTGGAATGCACCAAAAAGATGAAAAAAAAAAATCGGAGAAAAGAAAATTAGCAGTAATACTGAAAATGTACATATTCAAGGCTTCTACCCCAATCCTGTGTCATATCAGACAGAAAACAGACTGCAGAGCAGAAGCTGATTTAACAAGAAAAGAAAACGAAATTACGTTTTACAGGTATGCATGGTAGGGAACAAGGGAAATGTGAGAAACTGCTGGTCATGTTGCTATTGCCTCATTGAAAACCAGTATTTATTACTCCCATTAGGGATGCTCAGTGAAGCCAGTTAAATGCTGTTTTCTGAAACTGAAGTACTTTGTTCTGACTTCACGTCGCCTGTAAGTGCTAGACAATCAGATCTAGAAAGCCACAGATGTACCATTTAGAAGAGCCTGACGCCCTCCAGATACCATACATGACGCATAAGTCAAACCCTCAGAGACGGTCACAGCATAGAGAAATATCACTCTTCTACTAAGGTTAAGCACCTCTCTCTGTTTAAAAGATTACACCAGTGTCCAAAAATCTATATTCACTGTTTGTGTTGCAGTCTGCTGAGCATCCAATGCATGTGATAGAAGTTCAGAGGCCAAATCATTTCAGCAAAATAAGTTAAATCCTTGCCATTTCTTATCACAATTTTTACAAAGGCATTGAAAAACTGCCTGATTTGCCTAACTATTAAAAAGTGTGTCTTTAGTCTTTCTCAAACACGTTTCAAACATGTATGGCATCACTGCCTCACTGAGGAAGCAGTATTTCCAAAACTAAGGACAGATCTTCTAAATCCATGTTGACGGAAGTTAAGGAGATGAGTTAAGAAGGTCAAGCATTGAAGTGTATTAAGATCCGGACCTCGTTGACAAGTCGAGTTTTGCGTAGTCTGTTATTATAGAAACAAGAGAGCTCAAGGCAACAACACTCATGGCCACTGAAGTTAACTTGTGAACCGCAATCCAAACACCAGCTGACTCTAGAGAGAACGGTGATCAAGGATCACACAGAACCTCCTTCTGCAGCGAGAGGCAGAAATTTTGTCCTGAGTCCATAAAAATTTCTTATTTAGCAATAATATCTCAAAGTGCCTTAATATCCAGAGGCAGGCACTGATTTTATTTCAAAAGCATTGCTATGGAAGCGATCGTTAATTAAAACAAGGGAAGATGAAAGTAAGCAGCTGGAATGGTAGGATGTGACTGACAATATTCACAGGCATCCTTAGCGGCGGAACGAAATGCAGTGACAGCCAAGCACATGGCTCGATTCTTTGCCCAAGGCACTCCTGGCCTCTGAACATGTGGTGTACAGACATTTTCAGGCTTTTACGGGTGTCTTTTTCTAAAATATCATAGACAGAGAGACTACTTCAGTTAGGTCATTCTCCATCTTAATTTCCTGAAAGTAGTTCCACCTATAACACCACAGACTAACTCAAGGATTACAGTCCAGCCCAGCCTATCAAAGGTAGGACACAAATGAAGCAGTAGTAATCTGAGGTGACAGATACTCAGTTCTCTTCCTGCAAGTGATGTCTAAATCCTGAATAGTATTTCTATCCATGTTATACTATTTTCCCAGAAATAAAAAATTTACCCCATACACAGACAGCTTCATGTACTGAAAAGATGCTATTTTTTTTTTACATCAGATATTGCCATGGAAGAGCAATAAACCAGCTCTTTTAAACATCTGTACGTCTCTCTGATGTCTCTAAGGTACTTAAAGATTTATTCCTATAAAGCTTTTACAAAGACTGCATCGACAATAATCCACAGGGAGATTTAGACAGGGTTAATTAATATTTTGAACCAAAGAGTAGTATGACAATGTGACAGGATGACTTTTACTGTATCTTTATTTCATTATCTAAATGGGACTACAGACACCCGTCAGATTTTCACCCAGCTGAAGAAGCAAGAAAGTACTTCTGTGACACGCTTAGGCACGGAGAGTAGCAGAAATGCAAAGCACCACTACTCTGACTTAGCTGACTGTATATACAGCTATGAAGTACAGATGGCTTTTAAGTCAAAGGGTGACAATATTACTAATTTCTTTTCAAATCACCTTAAGCACACACTGCAACAAATGTGATTGGCCAGTGAACAGAGCAGAGCTAAAAAAAAAAAAATCTACCAAAAAGCCAACCAGCTATCAAGTTTTCATGACTGCCCTCTGTCAAACACTAGTGGACCTTTTTCTTCTTGAATTTCACCAATCATTGCAATTCAAGAAAAAAATTTAACTCAAGAAAATTTACAGCATCACCTTGAATTTGACTCTCTGCTATAGACGATGAAGCAAATTATCAGAGGCAAGTTACACGACTACGCTTCACTTGCTCATTTCAGGAGCATTTCCTGTACTCAATTACTGTGTAAGAGACCTGGGGAGATAAAGCAAAGCTTCACAAACAGCATCACTGGGAAACTATAAAGCCGTTCAGATACAAAAACGCGTCATGTGCACAAGGTGGATATATGAAAAGAGAAATTACGCATCCTTTTTAAGGTCTTAATAGCATAAGTTTTAACAAAAGACTGTAAAACATTTTTCATACAGCTGGTTGACTTTAAAAATTAATTTCAAACGTTCCAGTAAAGTCTAAAACATACTGACAGCACAATACACTTCAGTGAGCTAATTCCAGGTGCTCTGCATTTCAATAAAACTTCTCCTGTGAGAGTATCAAAAAAAAAAATCGATTAATTAAGGCTCTTGAACAAGGAAGGACTCTACAAGGTTTATACTCAGGCTCATAAAAAGTAGAACGTTCACCCAAGGACAAACACTAATAATGAAAATCCTTTGACTTCCGGGTTTACAACCTGTTCACTCAGCTAAACAGTTTCAATATTTCACCCAAGATAAACAGTTATAATATGAACTGCATGTTCCAGCTGCTCTATACGAACTATAAACTTACCATTCAGCAGAATGCAAGCTGTTCCTGAAACTTTCTGTATGCGACCAGGGATAATGGGATCACTGCCATTCATGAAGTGACTCGTGAGCATAAGAATTTGCAGGGCTTGGGGAAAGCATCAGTGAAGGCAACTGTCCTGGTTTTGACTGGGCCAGAGCTAGGTGTTTTGGGTTTTTTTAGCAGCTAGAAGAGCTCTCTTTTTGGTTTCAGTCTGGGATTCACTATGAGGAGAATGTTGATACTGCACCTCATGTCTCAGCTGATGCTGAGACATCATAGCTGATGCTGAGACATGAAGGACCTTCCAGCTTCCCATGTTTTTGCCAGTGAGCAGGAGCACAACAGGCTGGGGAGGAGCATAGCCAGGACAATGGGTCCACAACTCCCCTTGTGATCTAAACTTAGACTTAGGATTGAGGGCTACATTGGCCAGTGGACTATTCCATATCATGCAACATCACACTCAGTATATAGATGGGGGCTGACTGGGAAGAAGTTCTCATTTTCTCTTCTGAGGGCTCTCTCAGACTCTCAGAGTTTTAGCTCTGTCTCATTCTCTTTTTGGGCCTCTCACTCGTCTGGGATTGCGGTGTCAGGACTTACCTGTTTCAGGACGGTTTGCTGGGATGGGACAGGTGTTGGTCACCAGGTGGTAATTACACTGTTCATCACTCGTTTGTATATATTATTATCATATCTTATAATTTTTTCCATACACTAATTTATCATTATTGCTTTTAATTTTATATTATTGTTGTTATTATTATTAATTTTGTATTATTGTTATTATTATTAAATTGTTCTTATCTCTCTTATTTGTTTCTTATCTCAAACAAACAAACGTGAGCCTCCTTCCCTTTTCTCCTTTAATCCTCTTCCCCATTCCCTGGGGCTGGGGGAGGGTGATCGAACATCCCTGGCCTTTAGCTGCCGACTGGGTTAAACCACAACAGCAATTCAAGACAACAAGTGCTCAGGCGCACTGTGCTTCTGCAACAGGCAACTGTCAGCCAGGGGTGCAGCCTGCTGACTCACAACGCCGTAAGGCATACCTATGGCCCTTCACAGCTGGAGCAGAGGTCAAAAGAGCTGCTACTTTCCCACATTTTTTCTCCCCAAGTACATTTCTCGAAAAATAACCACAGCAACAGAATATTCGTAACGGCTAATAGGAAAGGCAAAACTCCCGTTATTTAAGTATGACTCATCTGTTGCACAGGCGTGTTTTCACAGCAAAGGCTGGAAAATTCCAATGTAAGCAACAAGGCCTTTTAACCTCCAGAGCAGTTGTACTTAAAAAATAAAAATGTATTGCACTTCTACATCAGTTTGCTAATGGTCAATCAGCACATGAAAAATACTATCTTGCTTGTGATTCTAAAGACACACACAAGAGAAAATTCAGTGAGGCTATTCATGTTCCTGTTCAAAGTTAGGGCCTTTACTGAATTAAACTTCACAGTTTATTTCACGTAAAAACAGAAAACCTAAGACAAAAAAGCAACTTACTCAAGACCACAATCCTTGCCAAGGAAAGAAGCAAGATAATCCTTGCCCAGTCATTTGGCCATTGCCTCTCCTTCTGAAAGTTCTCCAACAGCATTACTACTTCTCTGTATGTTATAGAAAAGCTCCTTTCAATTGCTTTTAAAAATCCATAGGTATTACAATAAATAAAAAAGCTATCAGTAGTGCGAACGTCTGTCTACTCTAGTATTTCAACATAAATAATGAGAACCCTACCCTACACAACAAACTGTCTTATTTCGAACCTGTTAACGATGTATATTAAATTCACAGACAAAAAAACAAACAAACAAAAAATACCTGGTGAGCTCTTCTTTAATCTTCAACGGTTCATGTGGGTAGAATTTCACTCTAAAGCACATGGTATATGGTGGATGAGCTGAAACATTATAAAAAAACAAAACGTGAGAACAGTAGCAAACAAACATTGTCTCAGCCACTCTGAAGGAGCAGCCTCCAAGAGTCTTACAAAGTAGCCTGTGTGATGTTTAGCTCTGAAGCACCAGGCAGGGATTCAAACAAAATCAATAAATACTATATATTCACCTGAAAAGAATAGAACATATTACAACGAAGGCCAAAGCACATGCAAATTACAGCTAACCTACGCAAATCCATTTAGAAATGGTTTCACACCTCACGAGACTTATTGCTTGACCCAAGAAGTACAAAACACACTTGGGCTGCACTTTTTTTTTCCCAGCAATTGATAAAAAGGAAGTAATTGCATCTTGTCGCAACAAGACACAAAAGTGTTACAGTGTTATGTATATTTGTTATTCACGATAATGCCTAGACTACAAAATGGAAGAAACCATTAATGAAATTTGGCTAATGAAGCTAGAGACAACAGAGCCAATCCTGTTTAATATTTAATAAGACCACGTTACCTACTCCTGAGCTATGGCATCAATACCAGGCCTTAAGTACAACACTTCCACTTCTCGAAAGAGAGAGAAAGAGAGAGAAAGAAAGAGAGAAAGAGAGAAAGAAAGAGAGAAAGAAAGAGAGAAAGAAAGAGAGAAAGAAAGAGAGAAAGAAAGAAAGAAAGAAAGAGAGAAAGAAAGAGAGAAAGAAAGAGAGAAAGAAAGAGAGAAAGAAAGAGAGAAAGAAAGAAAGAAAGAAAGAAAGAAAGAAAGAAAGAAAGAAAGAAAGAAAGAAAGAAAGAAAGAAAGAAAGAAAGAAAGAAAGAAAGAAAGAAAGAAAGAAAGAAAGAAAGAAAGAAAGAAAGAAAGAAAGAAAGAAAGAAAGAAAGAAAGAAAGAAAGAAAGAAAGAAAGAAAGAAAGAAAGAAAGAAAGAAAGAAAGAAAGAAAGAAAGAAAGAAAGATAGATGTCAGTAACAGGAATTATTTCAATTCTGCAATGTGTCCCTCTGTTTTACGTTAATGAACAACACAGCTTTATATCCCACTGTTGCATCTTCGACAGCATTCAAGATACTATCTAATCCTAGGCCACTGATATGTCAGTGATTACAGAGGGACAGAAAGCAAATCAAAGACTATTATTCTAATCAAAGAGGCATCTTGTGATAATCATGTTAGGATAAAATACATGTGAAAACTAAGTGGAAGGCTTAAACCTATCACACGAGGCACAATACACAGGTAGGCAAAGCCCTCAGAGCTATCTGTAGCCAGGTAATGTTCACGTTTTAAATTCCAGTTCAAAGTCAGAAGGAAAATCTTCAGAAGGTAAATGGTGTGGGGGAAAACCCCACCTATATCACGTAGCCCATGGTAACTGGCAGGCATGCAGGTAACACCGAGAGCAAGCATGGAGATGGAGAAAGCACCAAGGCAGAACCACCATCCAAGCAGCAAGGGCCTCAGCACAGTACAGTATGCAAGGACCCTCTTTACCAGCATAGCCATTTTTAGATGGAGAGAAATTGAGAGAAAATCTGAGGCTTCAAACAACATGGGAACGTGTGATTACTGTGGTCATTTGGGAGTGTCCTAGAGACCTGAGTGCAGAATTATAATCCTTTTATTAAAATACTTAACTACAAAATTAACTTTCTGCATACATTTACACTAGTACTTAACATTTATTTACCCTTACTTCTGAAAAGTTGGGGGGGTTGGGGTTTTGTTTTGTTTTTTTAAAGGAAAGCATCCATGCAACTTTAATTCATAGTAAAGTGCAGATCTATAATATTCTAGTTAGTTTTAAAAGTCCCTTAGTCTTAATGTATACTCAATGCACACAACCTTCCTAAATCTTGCAGAGATGGTGCTTTTACAGGAGGAAAAGAAGAGAAAGCAAAAAAAACAGGGCAAAGAAAATTACAGCAAAAATGGAGGAAGAAAACAGGTGAAACAGATAATAACATTTTAGTTATTGTAATCTAACAGGAATCACTAAGCTACCAGAACATTTTACTGTACCATTTCCTCAAGCTTACTAGCTCACTGACTTGTATAAACTGCATGCGGAAATTAGTTCAACAGTCATTATATTCCTGAAGCTATTTTGACTGCAGTATTTACCTGTATGCTACAGTCTTCCAGAAAGACATCTCTGGATATCACATAGTTCCATGTGTTGTACAAAAGTAACAGAAAACAAAAATGCAATACATCTTTTGTTATGGTTGGTATCTTTTGGAGGGTTCAGCCGCCTTTGAAGATGAAGGAATATCTTCCACCCTGAAGATCGCATGTTGCACTTTTTTCAAATATGGTCAGCCTTAAAAAAACTGATGATTTCACGTTTTTTTACTTGTTTAGATAACCACTCATTTAAGACAGGAGTAGTTAAGGAGGAATGTCAGAAAAGAAGGGGATAGAGAAATGAAAAATACACAAAAAAAAAAGAAAGCAAGGAAACAAAAACTAATAGAAACAAGAGGAAATGGAGAAAGAGAAACAAGGCTGAAGTGTTCTCTCGGGATGGTTTGAACATTCAAGCAAGTAAAATCTGGACAAGCCCTCTGAAGGCAAGAGAAACACTCAGATAGCTTTCTATGTGCTTTGGCATCTTAGACGCGACCACAGCATTGTCCTACAGTGACTGGAAAAGGCAGCAAAACAGAGGACACTTATGCTCTCCCTGTCCCTTGATGGCAAACTAGAAAGTAAACTGAATTCAGTCTCACAGAAAGGTAAAAAGCCATCCAGAAACGGATTAGGAGCCATGTTTCCTGGAAAAAGCAAAAGATAACATCAGTCATATTAAATGGCTTTGTCTCTTCTCAATAGCTTTCTTAAAACTGCGCAAGGCAGAAAAACTTGCACTTTCAGAATACGGCTCCACTCACAAAATGGGACAGAAAAGCCAACCTGCATTAAATGAGCAAGAGCTCCTCCCTAGCAAAAAAGGACTTTTAAATGTCCTTTTAAAACAGCTAAACAGAGGTCCTTTCTCAGCAACACCTGCAAGAACAGCACACTCCAGACCTGCAACTTAAAATGTTAGAAAGAATATGATCCTCCTCCCTCCAGTTCATCTCTGGAGATGAGATAAGAAGGTACCCTGCAATTATAGAAGGAAACAAGATCCTCTTTTTCTGTTCCTCTTTCCCAGTTAGAAAACCAGCCACAAACAATGAACACTTGAAAGGGGAAGGATGGAATCTCACAGCTACCCACTTTCCTCTCCATCTTAATTTTAAAACAGATCATAAGCCTAATGTTCCTCCAAAAACACATCCGATGATATGTAAACATTTAGTAAGGCCTTTGTCTTACAGATTTTACAGCACATGGAGAAACGCACATGAGAACCTCGTACTGTCTCATTCACTGTATTCTTGTAGTGGAAAGCAAGACAGGCAGTGAACTGTAACAGCTCAAGAGATGAGATTGTCAAGACAGACAATTCCTCAGTTCCTTGAAAGTAAAATTACTTTCTACCACTTACACACACATGAAAGTGGAAACATTAACAATAAACCTCCCCAAAACAGAACTCAATTTGCAGGATGCTTCTTCAACACAAAAGTAGCCTGAATATAATCAGCTTTATAATGGCTATAAGCCTTTTCTTTCAGAGTGGTCCTTTATCTGTCAGATAAGGAGCAGCTGGTATAGAGAAATGCCCAAGGCTTTGTCAGAATTTCCTACTATCACAGGCTTTGCTTTCCCACTAAAAAAGATTCACAATTACAATAATTTCTAAGGACTTTAGCACGGAGAATAATACTGACTGCAAATTCCATTGCAAGAGGGCTATTAATTTGGCAGTTTATGTGGTAACAACATGTAAGAGATGAGAGCAAAAGAACAAATAAAACCATTTAAATGATATGAAATGCTGAAACCAGTCATGATCTAGGCCCTCATGAAGGAACTACACACATCACGTGGAAGGTTTCCAGGCAACTGACTCTATGTTTTTAAGGTTTATTTCAGCTGCATTTAATTAAGACAAACTATCCAATTGAGATGAAACAGTAAGTATCTCCTAGCTAAAAACCAAATCCTTAACACCCTGACCTGAACAAAGAGGAATATGGGAACTGCCCCCCTTGGCACAGACACCCATGGGTAAGGGACTAAGTCTCACGCACTTTCATGTTAAACAAAGCCCACTGAAACATTCGTCTTCTGTGTAGATGAAGAGCTTAGAGGGAATGATAAGCCTAAGAAAAACTACACATTCATATTTCCATTTTCTTCATAGAAAGACAATCTGAAAGAACAAGAAAAAAATATTTACGTAAGAGAAAAATTGTTTTTAAATGCTGGTGAAACGCTTGACTGAAGTTTTAAAAGCGTGAACCAAGGAGGGAGAAGGACGGAAGATTCTCAGCTGCCACTTCTGGGAAGGTTTCCTGTTTGTTTTTAACAACCTGTTTTTCATCCAGCACAAATACTAGCTTCTGTAACGAGCTGTACTGGCAGTGTTGGTTTTTTGATTAAACACAGAGTACAGATGGATACTGAAAGCCAAAAGCAGATGTTTAAATTATCTTCATAGCCCTGAGAATGCAACATTGCAGAAAACTTCCCGCATTTCTTCTTGATGCTACATATTCTCTGAACTACACTACCAGAAGTTAGTGCTCATTTAAAAAAAACAAACAAACAAACAAAAAACTCACAAAACTTTACACTCAAACAGTCTTCATGTTCACTAATGCTACAGAAGTATCTCTGGGGAACCGTAAGACACACGGTGTTGTTCCCATATCTCTTCTCTCGCCAAATGCATCAGCTGTTTATCCATACCACTGGCTGAACCTGTTTAAGACAGACAGAACCCTATTCAGTGTTTTTATTTTATGCATATGAGATACCTGATCTATCATATACCTCAACTTGTGAGGTCTTTCTCATTGCACTCAGTTGTGAGACAATGCAGGGCAGGGTGGATTTTCATCAGCCAGTTATAGTAACGCCTTAAAGCATGTTATTAAACCTTTATGGGGATCTTAGGTAAAGCATACGTAGCATTAGGATTAGTGCCTGAAGAATCACACAAAACTTCCTGGTTTCATGGTGCATGGATTTATGAACCTTGTATTTGATTCAACTCTTTTTCAGATTTGTACTGAGACATGAAAACTGATGACAAGTTTGTTGAGATTTAAGAGTCTTCAGAAAGTTTTCCACAATCCGTCTCTGCATCTGGGTTCTTGTTTCCCCTGGTTCATTCCATCTCCTTTCACATTTTATGGCAGCATTAGAGATTAAGGAAATTAACAAATTCCAATGGCCTGACACAGGAGAACATCATTCTTGCATTACTCTCTCAGATCATCTGAGACACAAAGCAGCAGGAAAATCATGTAAATTTTTAACTCCTGCACATCAGAGCAGCAGAATTGATTCTGTTGAACTCATCAAGAACAAAACTCGTATAGTTGGATATTTCTCACAAAGTGCATTACAGGATAGCTGCGTAATTATTATGCAGAATAACCTTTTAAAATAATGAAAAAAAGAGAGAAAGGAGGAAAAGTGCCTGGGCAAACTCTGTTCTTTGCTTCAACATTAACACTGATGTGACTAGTAGGCTTTACACCAAGACATTCCTAGACAGAAAATAAGCAAAAAAATGTAAGATGGCCAAACAGAAGCGAATTCTACTGTCAGCATCTGGGAGAGAATAAAAGTGTATGCAAAAACATGCAAAGGATCAGAAAAGCTGTTTTTAAAAAGTCTTTATCTAGAACCGCAAACATGCAGTTACCTTAGGCAACCTTCCAGATTTCAAGACACTATTCGAAGTTTGGTGCTCACAGCTACTGAACACTGGGCACCAACTGGCTTCAACCAGTACAAACAAGACCGGCAGTGGTTCAGCGCATTTCTCAGAGACTAAAATTTCCCCTTTCAGGCAAAATTTGTGGTAAAAATGGCTGAGGCACAGACCTAGACTTCACACATGATGTTATGACAAACATTTCAGTGAAGATGGAAAATGCAAAAGTAGATGCTGAGACAAAAAAGATGACATGCCTTCCTTCTCCTTGTGTTGTACCAGTTGTCTTTTGTTGTACCAGGACACATTTAAGTGTGGTTTCATATGTGATAAGATAAAATATAAAAATATAAAATGTAAAATGTAAAATATTTCGGAAGATTCCTTCTGTCATATGCCAGTATTAGTTAATATGAGCTTAAAGCAATCTTTGCCAAGTCTAAAGAAATTAAAATGGTAGCGCATCATACAAGAACCTATGCAGACTTTAGAGCTTCAAACACAAAACATTCTGTCCCACTTACAGAAATGTATAGGTGCCAAATTGTGATTTCTGTACAACCTGACTATATAGAGGGATTAGGTCTGAATGATTCCTGTACCACTGAGGCCCATGAAATCTAATACCTACTGAAATCTGTATTAGAACACTATTCCCAGTCATTCATTTTCTGCTCTGAACATTTGTCAGTTCTGAGCTGCATGAATAAATACACGGAAGAACTTGTTACTGTACCAGGGGAAAATGAAGTTTCCCACAAACAGCAGCTGAGATCAAGCACGGAGCATTTTTCAAATTTCGCTACATGTATGCACGTGCTCCGTAATCCTGTGTAAACCTGATCATTCAACAGAATTTAGAACACTTTGAATTATTAGTATTAATGCAATCTACTCTTGCATCAGAGGAAATAAAAGTCCATTCTTACAAAAAAAAAAGCTTATTTCACTGTTTTCTGAAATCTTTAATTGCAAAGAAAGAAAACCTCCACCTAATACAGTTGCTGTGAATAGCTTTTTGCCACCATTTCTCCCTGAAGTCATATACATAATGTATGTTCTATTAACCAAGCTCTTCATTGCTTCAATTTTTACACTTTCCACTTGCTACTAATTTCTGTCCCCACTTGTGTCACCCGAGACTGCAATGCTTTTCAAATGAATATCAGTAATTTCTTCTTCTGAGTCTAACCATTTTCACAGTAAACTCAAAACTTTTAGATAAAATATAAATTAACGTTGCATGCCTTTAGAAATTTAGTGCACTACATTAATATGGCATACTTTTAGAAATATAAATCAAGAGGTTCTTGATGTGAAATGCTCACAAAAACATCCTTGAAACCTACAGAAGCAAAAGACACATTTATGCATAATCTACATGGATTCTACAAATGCATATAAAAAAAATATATTTCTCCTTGTTTTGTTTCCTTAAAGGGTTATTGTAGCAACTAAAGTCCTTCATCTGTGACAAATGATAAAGTTAAGTTACACTAGTATCAAACTGAAGTTGCTCATGAAAAGCCAATGGCATAGTTAATTCTACTTTTGTGTCCTAAATCTAAGGCTGATAACAAAACACCTTTGTTGGCGTCTCATTCTCTTTTGGTGGTGTTGTTGAGACATTTTCATCATGATAAATAACCTCATACTAGCTGCATTTTGTTTTGCTTCTTTTCTATGCCTTCATTTTTCAATCTTCAGAGTTTTGATTAAGATTCTACTCCAAAAGCCACACAAATTGCCTGACAAGACCATCACATCACTACATCTATGGAATTTATGGAGTACCATCGATCACATCTAGGCAACATCTATATGCAGATAGAGTTGTTGTTATGAATAAATCGAAACACTCTCAGTGCATCTGTTGGCGGAGTTCCAGAATAATGTCGCTATGCAAAGTGCAACAAGAAGCACGAGCCCTTGAGCTTCGTTGGGTGAAAGCAGTGACACAAATACAGTATCCACGTTGAGGAAAATGTGGTCTACTTTTGATAACACAATGGAAGGAAGAAAAAGATAAAGATAATTTGTAATTATTACAGTCCCTCTTTTCTACCTTCACTTGCACTGCAGAGAAGCACAACTTAGTTTTAGCTTGAAATTCTTGAACTTACTTTTTACTGGATAACACTCTAGCTACCTAAACACTAGATATAAACAGTTCACACTAAATATGCTAGGTATATGTGTGCATGCTTACATATAGACCTATGCACATCTTGCAACATATACTACTGCTGCATTAATGCAAGAACTTCCTGAAGTATTCCACCTAGTCCACTCGACACCCAGGATTAACTGTTTTTACATATTAGACAATTGCTTAAGCCTTATCACATTTTAAAACACATTATCTCCCCCACAAAAGACACCTTGTATTTATGCTTAAAATAGAAAACAACTGCATACAAAGGGTACGTGAGTAAAATTCTCCTTCATTTCATAAAATAAGTAGATAGATAGACAACAGTTTTTACTGAACAAGACACAACTCCCAGTGACCTAAATCAAGTCTCCAGAACTGCCAAATAAACACTCTCTTCCTGGATATAAACTTCCGAGTACCAAAGTCGTTCTGTTTCCTGAAGAAGCTTTCGCAGTTGGCCCATTTAATGGAAAGGATGAGCCAGGCTATAACATTTCAAAAAGATAATTATAATAACACATTCCTATTTTGAGGAGCCTTTTTTAAATAATGCTTGTAATTTTCTACTTGCCTGTGGCAGGAGCTCGTTACTTAACCCATAGCACTTGAGTTTGCTGGACTGTAGCCGTGGTCTCAAACCAATGCTCTGCATTGTCAAGAAGCAGGGTGCAGCAGAAAGAAAGCAAACCAGAAAGACCCACACTCCATATTCTATTGACATTTCATAGTGGTTGATGATTGCATCTGATTGAAAATGACAGCCAGAACACACAGGTCTTCCCCCCACATCTGCCCCCCCAAGACATCAGCTGGCCTCTGGCTCTGTCCTTGAGCAGTAAGGGAAAGCTCTTGATGTGCAAAGCACTGTGAGACAGTGAAATGAGAGTAGCATGGAGTTTTTAGGAGTCCAGATAGGACATGAAAGGCCAATTTGCACCAGGAAACAAATGAAGCATATTCTAAACTACCTCTGGGCATTTCAAAAGCAGTTTAAAAACATGAGCTCTGAACACTTACATTTCATTTGCTTGAAGATGGACTTGTTGGGCTCAAGCCAGTGCTGGAAAGGCAAAGCACAGAGTAGAGGTTAATATGGATCACAACAGACAACAACATCCATGTATGTGGTACCAAAACCAGGAAGCAGGATTTTTGTTTCAATGAGACATACATAAACTGGAAAAAGCACCACCATACTCTTATAACACTGTAATTGTACAGAGTACAAGAATACTTGACGTAGTTATTGCTTATAAGACGTAGTTGAGACAAAAATAGGACAAATATTTCAAAGATAAATTTAAAGCGGACAGGTTCTAGTGATTAGTTTGCAGCAGATATTTCAGTTTCACACTTTGAACCATTTTTTTGCAAAGAAATGGTCATATTGATTAGTAGGATAGACTACACAGAAACGTTAACATCGTCTGTTCATTAATGCTGTCTTCTACAGTTCTGATAACTGAAGTGTGTGTAAATACTGTATTCTCAGTCAGCATCCTCAGAACACAAGCTATTTTTCTTTCCTAGAAAGGAAGGACTAAATCTGAAGAGAAAGAGAGTGTATTTTTCCATTAAATGTTTATCCTACGGACAGCCAATGCGCAACAGAGGTATGGATGACTACTAGTTTGTGTATAACTTTTCAGGGAAAGACTGCAATGGCAGGAAAACTTTAATGTTTTTTACTCTCCTGGAAAATAAACTCAGATGCTTCTGAGATGAAAAACTAGGCTCACATTTTAGTTAAGAGCCTTAGCACATTCCCTGCTAACACTAGCTGAACTGTTCAGGAGGATGTTTTGATTGACAAAAGAATATGCTGATATTCGAGTGCCACTTCTGACCACAGCCAACAGCATTTGTACTAGGATTTTTCCTGTAAGCAAAAAATCTCCACACTAAAATGAGATTTGTGCTGCAGAGGCAGCTGGTCAAAAAGCAGTGTATTCAGCTTTAATAAGCATAATCAACACTGGAATGCCTTGTACTAAGGGGTTTCATTTTTAACCCTTTTCATTCTAGCTCTGAAACCCTATGGTCTATTGCAAAAAGAAAACCTAGTTATTTTTAAACAATATGTAATACTTAAAATATCCAACATCAGCTACTATTTTTCCTCATAACTTATAGTAATTCTACTACAGGTAAAGGCCAGAGGAACATGTGGCTTATCTTGACTTCAGTAAAGCATTTGACACAGTCTCCCACAGCATCCTCACAGCTAAACTGAGGAAGTGTGGTCTGGATGATTGGGCAGTGAGGTAGATTGTGAACTGGCTGAAGGATAGAAGCCAGAGAGTAGTGGTCAATGGGACAGAGTCCAGTTGGAGGCCTGTATCCAGTGGAGTCCCTCAAGGGTCAGTACTGGGACCACGATTGTTCATCATATTCATCAATGACTTGGATGAGGGAATAGAGTGCATGGTCAGCAAGTTTGCTGATGACATTAAACTGGGAGGAGTGGCTGGCACACCAGAAGGCTGTGCTGCCATTCAGAGAGACCTGGACAGGCTGGAGAGTTGGGCGGGAAAAAATTTAATGAAATACAACAAGGGCAAGTGTAGAGTCTTGCATCTGGGTAAGAACAACCCCATGTACCAGTACAAGTTGGGGACTGAACTTTTGGTGAGCAGCACAGGGGAAAGGGACCTGGGAGTCCTGGTGGACAGCAGGATGATCATGAGCCAGCAATGTGCCCTTGTGGCCAAGAAGGCCAATGGCATTCTGGGGTGTATGAGAAGGGGTGTGGTTAGCAGATCAAGAGAGGTTCTCCTCCCCCTCTACTCTGCCCTGGTGAGGCCGGATCTGGAATATTGTGTCCAGTTCTGGGCCCCTCAGTTCAAGAAGGACAAGGAACTGCTTGAGAGAGTCCAGCACAGGGCCACAAAGATGATGAAGGGAGTGGAGCATCTCCCTATGAGGAAAGGCTGAGGGAGCTAGGTCTCTTTAGCTTGGAGGAGACTGAGGGGGTACCTCATTAATGTTTATAAATATGTGAAGGGTGACTGTCATGAGGATGGAGCCAGGCTCTTCTCCCTGGCATCCAATGATACAATGATAGGACAAGGCGAAATGGATATAAGCTGGAACATAGGAGGTTCCACTTAAACATGAGGAAGAACTTCTTCCCAGTAAGGGTAACAGAACACTGGAACAGGCTGCCCAGAGAGGTTGTGGAGTCTCCTTCTATGGAGATGTTCAAAACCCACCTGGACGCGTTCTTGTAAGATCTGATCTAGGTGGTCCTGCTCCGGCAGGGAGATTGGACTAGACGATCCTTTGAGGTCTAATCCCTAACATTCTGTGATTCTGTTAATCGCTAACAGGTGACAGAAAATTATTATTTTCAAAATCACGATGCCTCAAGAATTCAGTCAAAATCAGGAGTAACTGTAAATTAGTTATCTGGAACAGAACTTCTGACAAAACAAACACTTTGAAAAGTACAATTTCAAATATCTGCACCTTATATGCTATAGCTGCTCACAAACTCCTGCGTATAGTTTTACAACAATGTCAGAGATAAGCTCTACTATATATTTCTGTTTGAAGCTGACTTAACACCGAGAGACTGATGTGGAACCCGGGTACTCAAAAAACAAATAAACAAAAAAAAACAACCTCAAACTTCAAACAACAACAACAAACAACCCCACACTATTTCTTCACCTCTTCCCTCCCCCCAGTATCTCTCTTTTTTGGGGAAAAGAAGGAAGAAACAGAATTGAGAAAGTAATGACTGTTTCATCAACTCATCAGAAAAACCTAGCTCATTTCATTCTTTTTTAGATCACACAGATACATTATTTATACATTTTGCTCTGAATAATGGGGTGTGAGGGTTGTTCGTAAAAAAGGTAAGGCAATTTAAGAAATTTTATACAGTCTGCAGTACTTTATAGATACATAATCCAGAATTAATTCACAGATAGGTAACCAGTCAAGACACACATATGCAAGTTTACTTCCCTTAACCTCTTCACACACGGATCCCATCTCCATCAGGATCTAAAGATTCAGACAGCAAAGAGGAACTTGGACAGCAAGCCCTGCTGTACTGTTCCCAGGGAACTAAGAGTTAAGAGGTATCTCACTATTTTCATCTAGCAGGAGTACAACACAACTCGTTTGATATTTCTTTTTGAAAGGCCAGGTTGAAATACTAGCACAGATCAGGTCAGCATTTACAGCTGTATAAAAAAAGTCAATTACCTATTCCAACAAAAAATTAGAGGTAAAAAAACCCCAAATTTGCAAATATGAAACCCTCATAATTCATCATACGAATAATGAAAAAGGGGAAACGTGGATTCAATTTCTCATGCAGTGCACCAAACCCCTAGAATGCAGATTTAGCTAACATGTCCAAAAGAAATACGTTTCACTAAGACCTGACTTTCATGGGTTAAAAACGGATGGAAAAGACACTGAGCAATTAAGCAGTCTAGACTTTCACTTGGAGGTCAAGGAACTGACAGGCAGTTTTTTGAAGCTCACATTTCTGTGATGACCTTCTGTTGGTTGAAGATTGTAAATGTGTAGGCAGTTCAGCTGAGTCTTCCAGAAAACTGAGCAGTTACTTTAGAATTTGTGCAGATTTTCAAAGACACAGCAATTAGATGCTTAATGCTCTGAGTGTCAGGGGAAGACAAACACCTAGTCATTGCTAGTACTTCTGAAAATAGTCACTCCTATATTTGTTTGTGTATTTCAATTTGAGTTTTAGGAAAGATTTTCCCCTGAGTACTTATCTTCCAGCCTTACAGCATTGACTATCAATAATTAATAACTGTGCCTCATCTCTACTATTAAGTATTCATGCTATATTTATTCCAAGATTAATTAGCTGTCATAGCTAGGACCAGATTAAGGTTCCTATAAATTCATCAAAGGGTTTCTGCAGGAATTTTCAACTGAAAAGCATTTGGCTTTGCAAAATGTTTCTTCCATGTATCAATCTCTTTTTTATCAATTTTGCTGAAAAAGAAAAAAAAATCCTCAGATGAAAGGAAAATGTAACATTTCGAGTTAGCTTGTCAGGCCAAATTTTAAAAGCATTTTAAATCTTCAACTGCAAAAAATTTTCATCACTACTGTATGCCACACTGCCTTGCAGGAGCAGACCACAGGCATTTCAACTCTTTCTTGTAAGTCTAACACCTCACAAGACAAATAGACAAAACAAGTCAGACGTAAGCTTGGAACCAGAGACAAGAATCTTTAATTTCTTTCCTTGCAGTAAAATGTGCAAACTAGGAGGAGAACAAAGCACCCAACAATCTTAGACAGTTTCATTTTTGCCTCATGTATTTCACACTGTCGTCCATAAAGGTTCCTTTAACTGGACGATGGCCTACACTCTAAAACCAGCTTGGCTTTTTATGTGATAGTACTTAATCATTGGAACTAGACGATCTTTAAGGTCCCTTCCAATCCAAACCATTCTACGATCATCAGACATCATTCCTGCAGAGGCTGAGACTCCCATTTCTTTGATGGCATGTTAGCAACATGGTTGTTGCCCGGTGGAGAAGAAAAGACTTTGATCCTAATCCAGCTAACACCAAGGATCCTGTAAGGAGATTCATGTACAGCATTGCCAATTTCTAACCTTTTCTGCCAAAAGAGATTTGGGCAGCAGCTGACTATCTAGATGGTCAGGCAGAGGTCCTCACAGAAGAAGGACGCAGAGGGAAAAATACTTAGAGATCTTGAAGGTTAATCATGGGATAGCTATCGAGTCTTGGTGCTTCAAGTGCCAGAGGTGAGTCAGCAAACTATTATGGATATCACTTCTGGGATCCTAAAATATGCTGAGAATTGCCTTCTGACTGAGGTTTCATTTTGACTGCATGCTGTGTTTCAGACTAGTGCAATTTTGACTTTGTAAATACAGCTCTCACCTCTGATCATCCTTTAAGTGGCACTGAGTAGTCATTAGCGAGGCCAGGTGTGTTCTTGCTTACCCACAAATGCTGAGCAGATGATGTGCTACCAGCTTCCACAGCAAAAGCTCAGGATGAGCAAGGACACCACGCAAGGATAAAAGCACCATTC